CTTTTCTCAGTGTTTTAAAGGGATACCTTCTTTGTAAAGGAATATAACACATGGAAACACAATCAAACACTCACCCTATGTGGGCTTGAATAGTGGCTCTAAAGCCCAGTTCAGACCAAATGAATTGAAAACCTGCCAGTTTACACCAGTGCAACTAAATGAGACGGTGTTTCGACTCTCTGTACTTCTGTCCTAACTGCTGGCTCTATCTGGGTATAACTTTTAGCATCTTAAAATATGAATGAGAACAGTGATAGTGAGTTACTTGCTACATTTTATTGATGGAATGGTGGAAACAAAAAATGTAAAAAAAGAGAATTTGGAGGTACTTTCATAGGTACTCTGTATTTGAGTACATTTCATATAGACATGTCTGTTCCTCAAAATAATTGAATAGATGATCCTCTCTTTCCTCTGTCAGAAACTCAGCCATTTTGAGCAGTTTATGAATGATTTAACAGCTGACTTTGCTACGAGCTACGAATTGTTGAAACATGTGACGTGCTAAAACTTGCTAAAAAGCATAGAATGGTTATATACACAGCTGCTTTTGTCACATGCAACTAGGTTTGTTTACTTTAGTGCTGAATGACATACAACATATATTACTACTACATATAGTGTTTGGACCATACCGCGTACAGATGGACAATGCTAACATGGATTAACCAGCAGGAATGGTTAAACCTGGGTCAACCTGACACAACCCCAAAGTCTTCGAGAGGCTTGTTCCATGTAGACACATGGACCACCAGCGTTAAACTTCCCAAATTTTTCTGAATTCATCCTGCAGACTAATAAAACAGATGTGGTAGTACCCAGGTTTTTTATGAGGATAATTCTAAAGGGATCATTATAGCAGTACAGAATCCCGGTATAAACTGATGGAACTCGAATCACTGCAACTGCTGTAGTCCACTCCACACAAGCTTTTATGTGATACCTGAGGAACTGATAATACTTGCACATACATACATACATGCATCTTACAATATAGGGCTATCAGACGACTGTCCCAGACAACCTAGGGACACTGTCTTCCTAATACTTTGCCTAAGCATTTACAGGGCTCCAGAGATGCGACCAAAATTTTTAAGAGTGCGACTAATAATTTTTCTAGGTCGCACTGGTGCACCTAGCGCTGCCCGGGTGAAAACATAAATTTATTTTGCAAGCGCATCACCTCTCTGTGTTCTCCTGTGACCGAACTCACACACTCATGGTAGGATCATATCGTGTTCTTAACCAATAAGAGACAGAGCTTGGACGGGTTTTGCCTCTGATTGGCTGTGGTCCTGTTCACCGCGCTAAATTGTGTGTGTTTAAAAATTGCAGAGCCCCGGTCCTTCGTCGACAGCATCAGACTCGGAACCAGAGGAGGAGAAACAGTTTCCCTGGCTGAGGTACAACAAAGGACGTAACGCAATGCACTGCGTGTACTGTCAGGAGTGCGGTCAGAATATGGCCGGAAATAATGCATTCGTGAGCGGGTCAACAACGTTTCGCATCGCACTTTTATTTGGAAATGTTTTATTTTGCTTAGTGTTTTAGTTTGAAATTTACTTTCAATTTCAGCTCAGTGAAGCACTTTAAACACTTTATTTTTCTTTTTATATATAATTGTGCTTCAAATAAAGACAAGCATTTCTCTACACCTTATTCTTGTTTAAAAATTCACATTATATGAAAGTTATGGATAGCGATAAAAAGGTGACCTTATGGCGTTAAAGGCGACGCAATGGAAAATTTGGGTGCACCTACATTTTGTGCTGGTGCACCTAAAAAAGAAAGTTAGGCGCACCAATGCAACCAATGCAAAAAGATAGTCTGGAGCCCTGATTTACAAATGATTTTCGTGAAATATTTCACTGAAGCACTGTCAATATCAGGGCCAGAGACATATGTTACTGATCTAAAAGGGGAAGTGTCTCTCTCTGCCCCAGCTTGTAGAATGTCACAGGAATATAAAGATACATGGACAGAATTTTAGAGTTGAGGCTGTTGTTATTCCATGATATTGTGGTATTTTTTCTGGGGACATTACAAGAATAATAAGCCATTAAAATAAATGCATATTTTACAGTGTGGTTATTGAGTTTGTTTACTGAGGTGATGATTTATTAATCTATGTAATGCTTAATTGCCTGCTTTTATTTATTCATATTCGACATACATCTACGTCCATGTATTTATCAAGATGAGATATGCTTTTATCATCAAAAAGAGGCGACACAGCAGGAAAACTGCAAAAATGTATTCTGTAGTAGCTATGCATCGTTGTCATATGTGAACAGAATACCAACTGGTCTAAGGTTCTTTGCCTCCATTACACATTATTTGTCTCGTCTGTTTTATAGTGTGTACTGTGATTTGTTTGGTATGTGTCACACACACAATCATATATGATTATTGATATGAGCATTTCTGTATGTTGTTATGTCTTCTCAGAACCACTTAATTCTTTCAAGCATATGTCTCTTTCTTGTGATTTTTTTCTCTGGCTGGTGGCAGGAGGGAACTTGCCATGCATTTCACGTTGAACTCAGAGTATGTTGCTATGGTGGTTGCTAGGGATTTAGCCTAGAGTGACGTGGAAAGTCCAAATATTAAAGGTGTCCTTCTGAAGCAGAGGCAATGGAAACTGTGAGGAATGAGCAGTTTTTTTTTGTGCCCTTTCATTATCATACCTCTCTCTTTCGAAATATCAGAATTGATTTTCAAAACACAAGAAAGCACTGCATATAAAGGCTCAAGCTACAGCAAAAGCAAAAACACTGCCTTTGCATACAATACTTATTTATTCATTATCATTTTGGCAGGTATGTACAGAACATTATCTGTATTCTCCTCATAATAAACACTCTCATTCTATCCATTTACTTTGATAACAGAAGGTAACAATGTGACCATGGACTGGAATGTTTTGTAACAGCAACTCTGTATTCAATGATTTTGAATTGAAACAATGACCTTGGCAGGGGAAGATGTACAGATAATGGGAGCATCATGTGAATATGTGAATATCAAAATCTTAAAGGGAGATGGGCCAACCTTTGTCAGACAAGTCCTGTTAAATAAATGTTTATCTGTGGTTTTAAAACGGGAAATCAGGATAGAAATATTCAATCTATTTTTCACTTTGCACTGTTAAATCTCCTTTAAAGGTTAAATTATGTTTTGTTCCTTTCGTTAGGACCATGGAAGGCATTTCACCAGCATGACGCATCCACATGCAGAATGTTGTGAAAGAACACTTACGTTATAAAGATTAAAGGCGCCATAGTAAACTTGTAATATAAGCCACATGTGACTGACCTTTGTTTTTGCGTGATTGGTGAGCTATTTCTTTCTATACATGCTACTGTACAACTCTTAAAGGTGTTCATTCTGAGAAATTGTTGTTTTGATTGAGATTTGGTGACTGTTTGACCCTGAATCCCCTGTTAGTACTGTAAATATTGTAAGTATTTATGTAAGTATGTAATATGCTGAATTTTCTTCACAGAGAAGACAAACTTAACCGAAAAGGTAGCCACCCAAATCAACAATGTTATAGTTGACTTGCATGTAGTACATCAAATTCTTTATATGGAAGATAATACAGCCGTGGATAAAGGCTTCTTCTCTTCTTTTTCAACATGCTACTGCTATGTGTCGTTAGTAGCTATTTGCTGGCCAACCTAGCCATTGTTACCGAAGCCCACTACTGTACAAGAACACCACCAAACTAAAAAACAGAAGCCAAACCAGCTGGGTATACTGTTGCAATAAGCTACCATGTTTTTCTCTGTCCTATCTTGTGATATTGGCGCTATTGGATGAATGCAGCCGAGCCGAATAACAAGATAGATTTAATAAGAATATCAATATAAATAATAATATCTTATTTGATAATCTTTTGTCTTCTTTTCATAATGTGCATCGAGCACAGGGATGAGCTTGTCTGATTAGCTTAGCTTAGCTTAAATCTTGGAAGCAAGGGCAAATGGTTAGCACTGATCAAAACTGAAAGACTTGGTCATCTAGCAGCTCCAAATTTTACTTTGTTAGCTAGCTAACTGGTTACCAGTACCTCAAAAAGAGTTTTGTACAAATTAACATGAGCGACTAATTAAGTGCTGTTAAGTTAACTGTCGGCAGGTCTCTCACTGGGTCTAGTTGTTGGTTAGGACAGTTACAGTGACATTTACGTAGTTTTGCAAAAGCATTTACGTTTGGTGGCTTTACCCTAAAGTGGTCAAATTGGAGCATTATAATGTCCGTTTACAGTTTAAAGCTAAATCTAAAGTAGGCAGCTTGTCATGACCTTTACTTAAATATGAAACTTAATTTAAACTCGTTGAACCTGTACGTACAACATAACATTATTTTCTTTTCGAGTTGTTCCCTGACATTAATTTTTCTGATTATTCTGTAAATTGGAAACCAAAAACTCATAGCTAGTCATTGATGCGTTGTCAGGACCGTTTGCTTCTCATAATATCTTTGATTAAATGTTTGCATTCTCCGAAGTGCCTTTCTTTCTGTGAGTGACTAGTTGATATAAATACTTATTAAGCCTGTGCCAATCAATAGCAGCCTAAATGATAATGTCCATTGCCCAACTCAAGAACTCAAGGCCTGAGGAGAAAAAGATCTGCCCTGCCCTTCCTCCCATTTCCTCTTGTACTGCCTTTCCCTGTCTTGCAGTCCACAGCTGTAGCAGCCATCACACAACCTCAGGCAGGCTAGTTAGCCCTGAGAAAAGAGCCTGAACCCCCGATCAATAACTTTAGTCTTGTCTGCCTAATTGCTCATTGGTCGACATTGGCGCCAGACTATATGTAAGTGCATGTTCCCCCGCGTGATCGACTTCGGCTCTATTTCCACCACTTCCCGCCTAGTGTTGGGCTTACCGTCTGCCCCTCTCTCTTCTCTCTTTTCTCCTGTCCTCGCCTCTGTTCACCCATGTTTGGAATGGAGAAAACCTGACCTGATCGGCATCTCCTCAGTTATCTCAGTGGGATCAGACCATCCAGAGACTGCAAAGAGATGTGTTGCTCTCTCACCAGGCCCGTGACTCTCAGGCTGCTCAGGTAAATATCCGGGTTTAATGACGAACAGGAAGATTAGCCAGTTACTCTCGCTCGCAATTTCAATGAGCGCCAGGAAATTAGCCGGTCTCTTTTGGGGTTTTCTGAACGGCTTATTATATGATCTAATGCAGACACACTTTATGAGCATGGAGCAGAGTATGGAGAGGGCAGTATTGATTGCGCTCATTGTGAATTATGTGAATAGATAAAAGTGTGAGTGTGCATATATATTAGGCAATTATGCGCTCAGGTGCTAATGTAAAAATTCTGCTGAATAAATATGAAATATGCCTCTATCAGCATCCAACTTGTGTCCCCTCGACACTAGTCATTTGAGATGATAATTGGGATAGCATGTTTGCCTTTTTCTGATGAGACGAGATATTGTGATAGCTCTCCTCAGCCTGGATTTAAATGTGTATTGATCAGTGTGAGGCTCAGGAGCTCAAATCAAAACAGCAGTACAGCCCCCGCACACTTGCATATATTTCTGTATTTGTTTTTCACATTATATTTTGAAGAAATCTTACAATCCTCGGACATTAAACATCAGTTAATATGTCACTTAACATAAGAAGCTCGTTTATATTTGTTCTCGCCCTCTCTTTCCAATAGTAGTGTGCTAATGTCATGATTTAAATGAAGTATTGATCAGTTTAGGAGGGGAGAATAGAGAGAGAGGGAGCGATTGTGAGGGAAAGAAAGCAAGACCAGGGTTATCGGTGTGGATCGCATACAGAAAGAGAGTGCTAACGGATGAGACACGTTTTAAGCGATTCCGTGAAATGGATTTCTGCATAATCTGTATTTTTAATTCAGGAATAGCCGCCAGGCTCTTTTGTTTGACTTCTTCCAAGAAGAAAAAATGGACACGGAGATGACACAGTGCCTTGAACAGGGCATGAATGGAAATAAATGGGTTTTTGTTGATTTCATGGAGTATTTGCCAGCCTGTATGCAGATGGTTAAATAATGGTTTGTCCTGGTTGCTGTCTGGGTCTCCATCTTGTCTGGTTATGATTCCTTCTGCAACGATGACACTGCAGCTGCTTCAGGCACACTGGACTAAAGCCTCCATCCAAGTGAAACAGCAGCTAGGTTTGTCTTCCTCTTACTGTCCTCTCTTCCTTTCTCCCAAGCTCCCTCCTCTTCCTCTCTCTCTCACCATCGTTGGCTCTCTCTCGCTCCCCCTCCATCCCTTCCCCTCTTGTGATTTAGCACAGCAAGGTAGTATTAATTAGTGGCCTGTTTATTATTGTTGCCGCACTTACTAGGCAGGCAACTGTTTGTTGTCAGTTTTACAGGAACGGTTCATCTAACCGTTCACTAGATACCCTAGCTACATAGCTGTGTATTCTATAGCTGCACTACTTCTGTATTGCCTTTATTTTTATATAATATTTAGCTTCAGTAGTATTGTTTATCACATAATGTATGTGTCTTTGAAGAGTACATTTGTTTAGACTTTTGTCATTTTTAGTTTTTAATTTGTATTCATTGATAACATGTTCTGATTGTAAGAGTTTGTAAAGTGATTTATTTGTAATTCTTTTTATCAACATGGACTATGAAATTCTGCCTGAACGGGATAGTCATGCTGATTTTTGAAAAATATATATTTAATTAGCTCCTTGTTGAATGTTCTAGTCTGCTAAGAGTTACTGATCAACTGGTATTTATTTAGAATAAAGACTACATCACTCAGTGTATTGTTTGTTATTTCATTGTGAAAAGGTGAGACATTTGTTTTTTGAAGTATGTGGTTTCAAGAACATTCTGCATTATCTTCTGCAGTACTCCTGACACAGAAATAAGAGATGGAGGCAGATGTTAGGCCTGCCCTGGATGGAACAGGACTGGGTGGCTTTATTTCTGAGTATCTGCACAGGAGGATGGGGAACCATTTTTGCATCTTAGCCTCAGCTACAGAGTGAGCAGGTTGGCTGCGCAGAGAGGATAGGCTCGTGTACTGGATTGATTTTTCTCCTCCTCTCGCTGCCCTGCCTCCTTTTGTGGTTCAATAGCTGGACATCCAGGAGCAAGGATCTTTCAGTCGCTGCCTGAACTGCAGGAGAGCCGTCTGGATCTCCGGAGGAACAGAGTCGCATGCAGCAATACCAAAAGCAGCTTCAGAGCAAGACTCAGCAGGCCCAGCAGCTCCAGAGTCAGGTATAGTGCTCACTGCTAGGCCCAGGGTCTTCCAGCAGGCCTCAGACTCATCATGCCTTGTGTGCCCATTCCTATCTTTGCATTTTAAGCAAAAAAGCATTTTGAGGAGCACATTTGATATATTTCCATATAACATATATATTTTGCATCATATTGATTGAATGTGGTTTTCTGGTGCCATCTGACCTAGAATAATGCAGCTTTAGGAGTCACAATGTATTTATGTTAATTAAGTGCAAACAGACAGATGGTTAAAAATGCAAACATGGCATTTGCTTCAATTCGTGATGCATTTAAGTACACAAATGTTACACAGAAAAAAACCTTACAAACATGTAAGGAGGGGGTGTATGTCCACTCCACCACTAGTGGAGTCAACAGACAAACATGTTCTCTATGACAAATAGGCACTTAGTTACATTGACAAGCAAAACATACCCAGTATTCTGATGATTGACGACTGGGGGTTTCGACATGTATTTCAAGAAAAAAAATGCTGCGTGACACCTTCCCTTAAGAAAAACCACTGACCAATCTGAATCCCTGACTGTTTTGATTGATGCTATCTGTGTCACCTGTTGCTAAGCCTCTGGGCAGACTCTGTTTGTAGCGTTCAGTCAGAGCCTGAGGTGTCATCTCAGTTGCGCTGCCTCAGAATTGTTTACTGGAACAGTCAGAGTGCTTTTTTAGCCACTCTGCAAATCAGTGCTTATTTTCTCTGTGTCTTACCACTCCTCCAGACGTCATTTACCATAATGATGCCCACTATTTTACACTGATAGTCAAACTCTCCAGGAGCTGCTGCCTATAATTTGTTTCAAATTAAGAATACTTGCAATAAGTGGTTCCCCCCCTTTTTTATATATGTATTTAAATATTTATTTATTTCAACACAGTATAACATCACACAGGTTGTTCAAAAATAAATTACTTTCAACTTCACGAAAAACACTCATCACTTATCAACGTGATCGATGATGTATAACGTCACTTTACAAATCAACTCGCTACAAACTTGCTCCTCTCCCACTTCACGCCTTTCTTGTTCCCGCCTGAACCTGCCCTGTGTTTGTCGTCCCCAGAATCAGAGCCGCTGCAAATCACCTGACTAGAGTACAGTATTAGAGTATGTAGTATGAACTGCTTTCAGTCACATACAGTGGTTGATAAACAATTGTCAAAGTCTTTACTCAAGTTTTATACATACATTTACAATTTGGATTGTAATGTGCCATGGTGCCATCTCCATCTTCATCATGTCTTCCTCAGCTGCAGATGGAGGCAGAGAATGATGCACTAATGGAATGTAAGCTTGAGTGGAGAGCTCAGGTCAACCTAGCTTGAGCAATTCATTAACATACAATTTGACCAACAAAACCCCCAAATGGGACTCTTACAAGTCCATAAATGTTTCTTCTAATCCTTACATTTTGAATATCCACAGTTGTCACTTTGTATACATATCTGCAATCTGTGTCCCTTTGAGTAAAAATGGCACTGTATAGTTATGTAGTTTTCTCGTCCATATCCAGGCTTAATGATCATGGACTATAGCAAGTCATAATATATCTATCTGCCCTTTAATGTAATGTTGACAGCATAATATAATAATTTTGCAGAACCATTTATGTTACAAGTTATTTCATTTGCACTGCTATTATTATTATTATTATAGTATTACTGTGCACTATATTTCAGGATTTAAAAGATTATATTAAGTAAAAAATAAATGCTATACTGCATTTTCAGTTTTACTGATAAACATTTAAACTGTGTAGGCTAAGGTAAGCTTTTCCACAGAGCAAGACATGGGTTCAGTTTGTGGCTGCAGTGCCTCTGCTTGGCCAGCCTACCAATGGACGTATTTGTCAGTGTTTTTGTGAAACTAGTTAGGAACAGTGTTATTACAATTACTGTCTAAAAGCACTGTAGTGAGCAAGTAAAGTAATGTAAATTCAGGGAAAAAAGGAACTTGGACTAGAATGTAAACTCCAAAACTGAAACTGAATTCAATTGCAGAAAATAGCCTTAGCCTTGGCCAGACCTTTGTATAAGGACATTGTAATCAAGGTTGTAATATACTCAAGTGGTTTGGTCAAAGTCAGATCTTCATTTTAAAAAATTACAACTCCTCTGTAGGTTCTGTGTCTGAATACTTTAAAATGTTGGAGAAAATCATTGTGGACTTTAAATTGATCATTGTTATCAATTGCTTTCTTTCCTTTTTAGCACATCAGTGGCAACCCCAAACACTTTCCATAGGGGTGGCCACTGAAAATCTTCCAGTGACACACGGTGGCCCAGAGTGTTACTGGTGGTCAAAAACTGCTGGCTGGCTATACATTTATTTTCTTTTTTGTCCCTGGTTTCGACATGAAATGTTTAGTTAAATATAGATATGGGTCAGGACCTTATACAGGAATGTATTGTGCTAAGAATGAGGATAGATAGCGAGAGGCACACTAAACTTATTTCCATGGTTTTCAAGAACTTGAGATGGACCTTCACTCAAAAGTGGTTGCACTCTCAGGAGTATCAGAAAAAGACAATACTCTTAACACATATCTTTCTATTTGGAGAGGACCGTGTTGTTTGTGTTCTATATATTTGTATTTAAAGGAATAGTTCACCCTTCGTGAATTGAATTACTAGAAATTCACAATAATTAAACAAATGATATATAATAAGTGAGCTCTAGAGGTTTCAATCTTGTGTTGAATATTGTCTGTGTCTATCCTTTAGGTGTAGCTGCAATGGCAGAGAAATGCAGCATGGGGCAGATTGGCTGCAGAAAGTACTCAGATGCGGCACCGATGTATAGACCTGGAGGCTCAGCTGGGGCAAAGACCTACCACAGTTATAGACTGGACACTAAGAGCGAGACAACCATTGTGGGCTCACCTACATAGAGTCACGGGTAAAATTTGAATATTTAAAAAGGACCAATGTGTAGGATTTAGTGGCATCTAGTGCTGTAGTTGCAGATTGCAACTTTCTTGCTTCACCCTCCCCTTCTAAGTGTCAAAGAGAAACTATGGTGGCTGCAAAATGTGGAAAAAATGCAAATTGCCCTATCTAGAGCCAGTGTTTTTTGTTTTTTTGTTTTTTTGTTTTTATGAGTGTCTCCAACATGTTTGAAAAGAGAGGGTGAGGCGAGGACATTGTAATTTGTGACTACACAGCTAGATGCCACTAAACCCTACACACTTAGGCCTTGCAATCAATAGCATATTTACTAGCCAAATTATAAGCTACTAAAGTAATGCTATAGTTGTCCTGGTTCATAATTCAAAACTACAATGGATTCCTATAAACTACATATGGAATGAAGGCTATCTGGAACATTGTAAACAAGCACCTGCACCAACTTTACTTAACAAAGTATTCAGAGTTATTACTAGTGCTGCCTGTCTACATAGTATATATACATTGTCTTGCATTAGTGCCTTAGATGTAATGCAATGCCTCTATCTCAGACATCCATTACAGAAACACTACATTATTCTTATTCACTGGAGGTTTGCGAAATTGTATGTGAGAGAAAAGAGGATTTTATGTGTGTGCGCAGACATGTATAGGTTTGCAGACATACATTAGAGGTTTTATTTTTATTTTATTCATGCACATGTGCATGTATGTATGTGTGTGTGTGTGTGTGGGCACATGTGAGCTTCTGATATTTGTATCCTCTGTCTCTGTGTCACCTTTGTTGACTTTGTCTCTCTCCTTCTGCAACGCTGTGCTCTCCGCTTTAATGACGCATATATCCTATCTCCAGTCGCTGCCTAATCCCAGCAGCGCTGGCTCAGGAACAGATTACTGCTTCCAGACACCAGAGGAGAGAAGAGCAGAGCAGGGTGGGGGTTGGAGGGTAGAAAGAGACGCCTCAGTGATACAATATACAGATAAATGGAGGGGCCAGCACATGCATGTGAATGTGCACACATATGTATGTATATCAACACATTTACAGCAGAAACAGTCACGAAGATGTTTTCCATAGTAAATACAATCACTACCCATCTTTGCATTGTTCTTTTATACCACATGCACATTTTCAGTTACCCATTTAAATGAAAATGAGGACTGACTTTTTAAATTCAAAATGTAACACAATAATGTAAACAATCTTACCCATCCAAAGTGCAGTGGAAAGCTTAAATTGCTTAGCTTAAATGTCTAGGAATATATATATATATATATATATATATATGTTGTACAACAAGACACTGGACATCTTACTGATTGCTCTGGTTTCTTCTTTTCACTCCAGACTGAAGACATCCTGTCGTTGGTACATGCAGAGTTGTCCAACATGGCTGCCTCAATCAGCAGGTGCAGTACTACCTACTGCTCAGACTTCAGCCAACAGAACAACACAGTGATTTTACAAGGTAGGGTGTTCTCCATAGTGGATCAATAAAGTCTCATGTTATTATTGCATTTTGTTCACATTATTATTCCCTTTGTAGGATCACTTTTTTTTTTTCATATTTACTCTTTGCTCAGCCGGTTCCAGAAACCCTCTGGCCTTCTTGGCTTTTTTACAAACTGGTAAACATATTCTATATAGTCAGCTGCTACTTCGCACTCAATCATGCGCTCCCCTATACAACCAATTGTGAGGCTTATTCAAGATACACTATTTACGAAAGCATGGACATAATGGAAGCATAAGGTGAAGGTAAGCATGTCTCCTAATGAACATAGTTATCTACCAGTACCTCCAGGTGTAAATAATTGGGAGTGGTAAATGCTGTCCAGCGACTGCTGTCATCACAGCAGCTGCCTACCAAGAACATGACTTTTAGGACCAAATGATTGCCAATAAAACATTTGATTGAGAGGAGAAGAGAATGAGGACCATAAACAGGCTGGATTCTGCCCTTTAATTTCACCATCTTCAGAGAATTGGTTTTGCTGTGCTGCAGAGTAGGTCCCATACACAAGCAGTTTAGTTGTCTGCCCAAGGACTGAAATTTAATTTAGCCTGTGTGTGTGTGTGTGTGTGTGTGTGTGTGTGTGTGTGTGTGTGTGTGTGGTGTGTGTGTGTGTGTGGTGTGTGTGTGTGTGTGCACGTCTGCGCATGCGGCTGTCAGTCTATTTGTCTTTGTCTGTGCCTGGGTGTCTGTCTGCACGAGTCAGTTTAGAGTGCCCCTGTGTGCAAAAACTAGCTTTGCATGAACTGCATGTGTAAGAGTTTGTGCTGGAGTGTTTGTGTGTGCATCCTGTATTTTGTGCTCCTTATTCTCTAGTGACTTAATGGTTTTACACTGCCAGGTTGTTACAGTACCATTTTACTGGTAGTACTGAGGCATTTATTTGCTCTGTACACTTCTCTGTTGTTTCTGGATTTCAATGCTTTCTTGTGTAGTTTTGCAATTGATGTGTTATCACTGCTAACCTGTAAACCTAAAAAATGCCCCCAGTTACTGTTGGCATCATCAGTTTGTTGTAGAAAACTTTTTGGCAGTAATTTTCTGTTGAGTGTATGCTGATTGCATGTTTAGAAAGTACAGCAGCTGAATTGTTTAACAATGGTTTTAGTGTGGCTAGTTTGTAACAGTTCTTTTGTGTGTATGTGCGTGTGTTTATGGTGCTGGTTTCCTGATGAAAGCCTAGTGCAGACGCATATATCAGAGCTCCAGCACTAATAAAAGGCCAGCAAGCTGTGCTCCTCTCCTTCTGGGAACAGCACCGCTTTTTACTGCTTCTCTGACAGCAAGATAAAGTGCCCTTCCAATTAGAAAAATATTTGGCCACATACCTACCAACAGCAATCCTGGGTTTTTATTTTTCATGCCATTTGATCAGGAATCCTTGCTATTTTTACACTGTGCTTTCTTATCATTGTGTCCTGGGTATCCACATGTTAATGTGCACCCCACCACTGCGCCATAATGCTGTATAATGAAATATCTGTGGATTTATTTTGGTGTCTTTTCTCATTTTGGTCTTTCTTTCATAAAGGCAGGGCTGCATACAGTTGCGCTTTGGTTTAGGAGTGAGACAGAATGTGTTTTTGCATTTTGCATGAGAGGATTCATGCTTCTGTGTGTGTTTGGGTTGATGTCATTCTTGTTGCCCCTGTCATCTGTCTGTGCCTCATACAGAGACGTGTGCATATATACTTAACCGCTGATGCTAGTCCCTATCTCTGTTTAAGAATACTGTAGATGTTTTTTCCCTTTTTTCCAAAGAGTGCATTAAAATTAAATTCTCTCTTGTTGTTGTGAAAAGAGGCACACGTAAAAAATAATTGGCTGTAGGAGAGAACAAAGGGCTGGCTCCTCTCTCCTCCCTACACACCCCAGCCAGGCATTAATATCAAGCCTGCTGCATTGTTCTGCCGTCTGCAGCCATCCCCCTAGCCAGACACTCAGCTCTGGAGAAGTCACTTTTAATGTCTGATAATCAAGGTGAATTTTCAAAAAGCTGCCATTTTCAAATGATGGTGTATATATTATGTGTAGATGGGAGTTCAGGAGCAGAGGAGCTCCACTTGGTGAGAGAGAGAGCGTCAGCCATGCGAAGTGAAAGAGAGACACCTAACGGCCACAGAGGGAACTGCAGGCTGATTTTAGCTCTAATCAGAATTCTGTGAAAGACGGAAGCCAGCTGGAGTGTCAGTGTCATTGCTGAAATTTGCCTGATAATTTCCTTTGTTTTTAATAATAATTACAATTCTTGGTATTTAATTTTAACTTGCACCTCAGTGTCCACTATTAAGAACATGTCTAATGTTGTAGCAGCTATATGTGTCTCTTGTGGCTGTGGAGGGTCAGGGGAACATATTTCCAGAGTACAGGCGCTGCCTGCTGTTGCCCCTTGGTGAAGGGAGCTCTTGTGCAGCGTTATTGGGGAATCAGGCAGCCAGCAGCAGAGCAGTGGAGCTCCATTTCCCTGCTACAGGGCACAGACTCATCTTCCTCTTGCTCCTCCCATCTCCCCTCATCCCCCACCACTAGGTATGATTATTTTTCCTCCGCTCCACCGCACCATTATATTCCAGGTCTGCAGTTACCCCTCCCTGCTGTCATTTTTCATGGCATGTTTTTGCCCGTGTGCAGCGCTGCACATTTGCACTGTGCCTGTGCAATATGTTAAGGAGGTGAATATATGCAGTGTGCAGAATGTAATAAGTATATATTTATTTTCTTTGCTGGTGATTTACTGGTTTTTCCGGTGCTTGAGAAAAAAGGCCGACTCTAGCCATGTATCTTAACAAACATGACTGCTGCGTATGCACTCGCCTCCAAGGCGTTTTACTCACCGGGGAAACAAAATTATACATCTGAGGCAGACTGGTTGTTTTACGTGCTATGACTGTTAAAAACCTGCTTGTTATTTTGGGGTATAAGCCTTGATAACACCAGTTGGGTAAAGTTTTGGTTGTGAATATGGCATTTGCTGCATTACAAATAAGATCATTTTAGATACAGTTTTTGCCTTGTTGATACCTGATCAGGTGACCGGACACAATGGCTTACTGGGCTATTGTTTGTACATAAAATACTCCTGTAATAACTGAAACCAATCTCGGCAGCCAGTCATCAAAAGCACAGGTTGTTCAACACCTTCTCTCTGCCTCTCCATTCTGCCCCCCAGTAGTCTAGCAAAAAAACCCAAGCATGATAAGACTCTCCAAAAATCAAAACGTAAATACACAAAACACACACACACACACACACACACACACACACACACACACACACACACGGCTGAAATTGACATTATACTCAGAGGGGAAGTAGCTCTAACCCTGTGAAACAGTATGATTTAAATGGATTCTGTGCTGGGAGCAGCACGGTGCACAAGTCTCCCTCTGTGAGGCTGTCACAGTAGGACACTTGCAGACTTGCATAACAGACAATAAAAAAAAAACTTAATTCTTAAAGATACGCTACATGATATTGTTATTGTGCCCACTTCCGCCCATGAATCCCAGAATTTCCTCCCAGCTCACTGTTGATAAGTTTAAACACATCAGCAGTGAGCAGGAAAAAGGAAACAGGAGCAGGCAATTTGGAGGCGATATGGGGAATTACAACAACTATAACAAAATCATGGAGGCTACTGCAGAGATTATGTAAAATATGATCTAGTATGAAACAGTGTCATTGATTATTTAAGTTTTAAGCTGTCTTGCTCTAAACTTACAAAAACGTAATGCGCCAGTTCAGTATTTTGTGAAATGAAAAGGCACTTGCCAATTTACACCCCATTTTGTAAATCTGCATTCTTTAAAATGTCTGTAATATGAATGGTGAACTATATATAGTGGATTACTGAAAAAATATATTTTATATAGACTATAGATCATTTGACATTCTAATTTTAAGATATTTACTGTGGTGATTTTGTTTGTATTCAGTAGTATAGCAGCTTATATATATGTATATATATAGGGTGTCTGTCCCCTGGCTGTTGGCTGCAATGCAGACCATATCATACCCTATCTTCTACAATAACTTTGAGTATGCTGGCAGTCCCATATTGTATTGTCATATCTGTCAGTGTAACAACTGCCAACAAGGAGGCTCAAATTCCTTCTTTTTGTGTTGATTCATAAAAATGTACAAAATTGAATACATCTCAGGGCTTAGAGTGCTTGTTCATACTCCCGTACTATGCACCTGATACCTGGTACGGTGCCTTGATGTAACATTGTTTATAGATAACTTGGTTTTGCCTTCAGTGTGATTGCATAATAACCAAGCATTCAAATGTGCGAGTGCTTTATTTGTTCCCCGGCAGTAGTAGTGGTAGCATTATTTTTCTCTCTGGTTGGAGGGCATACTTTCAAAGTGTGGATCTCAGCTGTGGTGCAGAATAAAGCCAGAGAAAGGAGGAGGAGAGGGCCACAGGCATTCTGATGAAAGGATGTGCGGGGGAATCTGGAGTGTGGAGAGAGAGGGAGCGTTTTACCAGTCCAGTGTGGCAGAGCAGGTCTGGCTTGGTGCCAGTCTGGGCACTGTGCCCACGAGGAGGCAGTGTGTGGCTAGCACTGACTGCAGCACGGAGAGAGATGCACAGACAGCAAGAGAGGCTGAGAGAGTGTGTCTGTGGGGGGTGTCTGCGGCTGACTGGCAGAAGAGGTTTAGTCTGCATTTGCATGTGAAGTGGCCAGGTTGTGATACAGCAGGAGGCTGGAAAGCGGCAGGGAAGAATGAGGGGAGATTTCCTGGGCAGTGTTATGTCACCAGCTCTATTACTGATCACAGCCCTAGTGTATACAAGCAACGCTGGTTAAACTTGCAGTCAAACTTGTATCCTATTTTTACCGACAAGGAGTTGATGGAACAATTGGCACAGTTCATTTAATCAGGCATTTGTTGTTTCATTTAATCATGCACTTGATTGTTGCTGTTAATTGCTTTGTCTATTGTTTCTT